ACAGTGGGGAAAAATGGCTTTAGAATTAGGCTACATTTATTGCCAAAAGAGAAAAATAAAATCTCAGAATGGTGTGAAAAATTAAAAGAAGGTAATGGCAGAACTTTAGGGACCAATGACCTATTCTTACTGGTTTCACTTTTAAAGTGAGCACTTTAGGTAAGCTTGCCCACTTTGTATATTCTATCATATTATTTCATGTGGGAAAGCTAACTTTTCTATCATGTTCAAATTATTATATTTTCTTTGGCTTTGAAATACTGTGGACATTTATGATTTGAAGTAAAACTGCCATTTAATAACTATGTTTTTTTCAATTTGTATATTTTTTTTTCTCTGAATGCTCTTTTCAGCTCTGTCGTCAGAGTGTTTAGTGTTCCTCTGCTGTAAAATCATGGAGCATTATGTAATAGTCAAAAACTGGAGGATCAAGCTCAATAGCTTCCTTTTTCAAAGGCACTATATGTGGGGTAGGGATGGTTTCACAGTTGCTTAAAACTTGCCTCCAAGTTCACGATGGTGGCGTTAGAGCAGATAGAGCTGTGTGTCCAGCCTGGAATCAAATAGCTGATCCTGCCTGAATACTGCTTCTGTTCTGGAGAGTTAACTTTGGGCTTGTTTCCTTCCTAATTAGGCTAACTGTGTATTTACATGTTGGTGCGAGAAAGGGTTTGGGAATTCTCAGGAGGGAAAAAGGAAGAGTGTAAAACAGGCCATTCTTTTTGGCAACACCTTGAACCTGGCTTAAGTGATTGTCAAAGTACATCCATTTTCTGTTCCTCTGTCCGTTATTTGGAGAAGGAAAAATACACAAATTTTTGAGGTACTAGATGTAATGGGATGTAATAAGCAGTAAAATAGGCACTTTTTATTTTGGGTAGGTCCTCTCAAATGTTTTATTTCTAGTAAGTGGGTTATTTTTCAGAAATGGAAATACATTCACACATTCACAATGTTTTGTAGTTAAGGTGGTTTTCTAAGTAGATAATCACTTGAGGATAACAAAGTTATTAACTACACAGCCGTTGAGTGACTATAATTGCCGAAGATAATACTACATATTTTTTTCTTGAGAGCAAATAGACAATATAAAATAAGAAGGAGGAAGGAGGGAAGTTAGAGAAGTTCCTTTTTATAAATTTTCTAACTCTTAGGATATAAAATTCCTGTAAATTTTCTGTTCTGAGTTTATAATGTTCTCCATAGCTTATTTGCTATATCTTAATGACTTTTCAATCTGCTATAACCTAGTACATGAAGGGGGAAAAGATCCCCAGTAAGATTGACTCAGCTGAATACAAGCAATGTGGGTGTTTAGCTATATATTTGAAATGCAAGTGTTTGGAACATATGTGAGATTTGAAGCATGACAGGGAAGGGCTTTTACTTTTGTGGAACTAAAAAGAGATATTCATAATTTTAGATTATGCAGAATTTAAAAAAATCTTGTTCTCTTAAGCACTGGCATTTTGAATGGTTTAGTAATTATATGCTTTAAATTGGTATTATAGGACATCTTTGTTAGTTCTCTCCTGAGATAGATACAGAAATGTACTTTTCTATAGCTTTAGGTTTCTGCAGACAAGAAGGATCATTGTATTTGCAAATAACCCTGATAATGAGCAAACCATGGAAATGATGTTCACAGCTGTAAGCAGCTTTTGTGTAGAACTGAGGGAAAGGTACTAATATGCTAGCCAAGATTGAGTCTTTTAGTCTCTCATGCACTTTGACTTGTTACATTAATGTGTATTTGATACACTGTTCGTATCTTTCACAGAGAATTAACATAAACATTAAAAAAAAATCAATGGAATCGTGACTAATGGTGTTGTGTGACAGTCTTCCAAATATTGTAGCTGTTTTTACATGCTGAATGTTCATAATATTTCTAAGGTTGAATTGAAGAATTTGCAGAAGAATACATTTCTGCCTCTGAGAAAAAAGTACTTCCTGCAGTATATGTGATTAGAAATGTGGAATTCTTCCTGATATTCATTGCAACAAATGTCTAGCTCTCTGCTGTATTTGAGCATATAATTTTTTGAAGGCAACTATCTTCACCATGCTTGGAAGAGAAGGGGGATACGATTACAGAATTATATTACCTAATCCTTCCTTTTCCCAGCTATAAATAGGTGCCTCCCACTATGTCTCATACTATTTCACTGTTCGAGATGAAGCCTGTCTATTAGTGCCCTAATAGCAGGCCCACGTTTCATTTTTATGTTTTGCAAATACCAATTTATTTAGTCTGACGGTCCTGATTTTGAGAGAAAGAGGTATTTTTCACTCCCTTGTAACATATAGTGAGACTGAAGCGCAGGGCTGACTGCTCAGTTATAGAGGAAGTCATTTGGAGGCTAATAATGGAACCCAGATTTACAGACTCATGTGTTTTAGCCAGAAGACTGAAACAAGACTCTTTCTTCTCTTTTTTGCGTATGACATAATTGCATATAAAAGGACACTGCCAAGCTTGATGAAGTCAAAATATGGCCTACTTTAACTTTAGTTTTCTCTTTGTGAAAATTCACTACTTGGGATTTTTCATAAGGGGGTGTTATAGCCTAGAAAAGAACGTACTGAGCAGGTCCTTTTAAATGCTGCCGTACTTCCTGTGGTAAGATACAGTGGTGTGAACTTATGGAGGTAGTAACTACCATCTCAAGCCCATCCATAGTTCAAAGTAAAGTAATGCTTAAGCATATATTATATTATGTTCTGATTACAACACTACCATTGCTTTTCTACAGTTTCATAAATTGTTTAATTAGCAGCAAATTTATCATTGTAAAGTTGCATGAAATATAGAAAGGTATGAAGTGATAGGAATGTGCTTCTATAACTTCCTGGTTTTAGACATCACCTTATAACAAGAGTAAACTAGATTCTTTGAAATACCTAATTATCCAACTTAATGATGGCCACAGGTAGTGTACCTTTACACGTTCTAACCTGTCAGAACTTGCAAACTGCTTTTTATTGACCACTATTTCTCCATGCGTAATATTTGTTTTCAGAATTATATGCTGAACTTGTAAGCTTGTTAAACAAGTTGATAGTATTTTCATTTTGTTTTTAAAGGAAAGCAACTACTCCCCTTATCAAATAGTGTCCACAGTGGAGTGGGACAAACAGTATGGCAGCCACCTGGAGATACCTCAAACCTGGTCCGAATGAGAAATCAGTCCCTAGGACAGTCTGCTCCTTCCCTTACTGCTGGTTTGGTGAGTGAATCTGGAATGAGTCTTGGTGCCTTTGTGCTGTAAATAAGAAGTGATGTGATCCTGTGTTTTAGTTTTTTGTTTCCCCCTTTTCCTGCTCCGTGAATCCACCTTTTAGTTCCCGTGAGCGCCCCCCCCTTCTTTTTTTTTGTTTGGTAGAACATCAATTAGGATGAAAATACTCGTCCTGATTTTTGAAAAAAAAAATGAAAAGGAAAATGTGTGTGTGTGTGTGTGTGTGTGTTTTATTCTGTCTTACGTTGGTGCCTATTCATAAATGCAATTTTAATAGTGTTTGCCTTACATATCTGTTCTTAGTGACACTTGTAATTTGACAGTATCAATACAAAGAGAAAATTCTCACATGAACTTGGCATCTAAGTATTTGTCTAATGGACATTTGAAATAAGTGGTAAGTTAACGTACAGGCTCATTCTCTAGAGAAAGACAAATGGCACAATAAGTTTCATAATTTAATTTAAGGAAAACAGCATTAAATTAAATGCTCTCTAAAAGAAAGCAATAGTTTTCAGGCATTTAATTTCAACTATTACTTTCTTCTACCCTTTCGTACTATTCAGTGGGCTTCAGATGTGTTTGCATGCGAGGCTTAATGCTGTGTATTGATATGATGTGTTTCCAGTTGCTAAGGGTACTGTTTGTGTTGTAAATCAAATGCTGTCATATACATTGAGAATAATGATATATTTTAAAAGTAATCATGTTTCTAATTAAAGCTGAAATATTCAGCTATCAATCCAATATTTGCCCCTTTTTGTTGCAGTTGTTAAAAACTGAAAGATAGAGGCAGGAAAACAGCCACATATAGTTGATGGTGGGCTGTATGTTAATTGTAGTGCTGTTAACTAAGGCTAGAAATTAAGAATTCCTATATGAAGTGGTGCACTAAGGCAATGACTAGAGAGGTTACCACAAGATGAACACCTAATTAAATGCAGTGAATCCTGGCATCTTAGAACTCGGTATGTGATTGCAACTGTTTTAATATGTTTGTAGTATTGAAAAGTGTTTCACAAATTGCACCAACAAAAAGCTTCTTGCCAGTGTAATTAATCTCCTTTGAAGAACATTTCTGTTAAGGGATGAGTAGGTTCAGTAATAGTGTCATTTTAATATGCTTGTCTTTATTATTACTGTTTAAGTTCTATTATTATTTGTTACTAAAGCAACGAATGCACGGGAAGAGAGAAGTAGAAGTGTGTTGCCAAAAAGACTTCCATTCAAAGCTACACATATAATTTCTGCTCCTCCTTTATGGCACTGTAGTTATCAATGGATTTTCCTGTGCTAAACAGCTTTACTGACATTCAATACCGTGGTTTTTACTTTCTAATCACTAGTAATCCTACAGGTTGCTTGCTGTACTTAAATTACATTTGTTTGAACTTTGAAAATATTTGCAAAGCAAAAAGATAAGAATAACAAACCTATAGAAATTACTTTGCAGTTTTTGAAGCAAGACTGATGGCTAGACTGCTTATCAGCAACAACTCAAGAACTGGCAATATATCAAATTCTCACATGCTGAATTGCATAAGCACAATTCATTGTTCGACAACATATTTCACTTCTTACATATGCGATAATCTGGATTAATGTGCCAGCACAGCAGTTGTCACTAGATCCTTGACTTGAGAAAGAAGCCAGCACAGACTGAATGCTCAGTGAAATGCTCTGGGAAATGATCAGTGTTGATCAGATGTGTGTGGTTTCCAAAATATATGTGAGGATTTCAGAGTGACCTTCAGTTCATCATCTACTATGTTCTAATTGTCTCCTGCAAGTTAGATGGATGGCCTTGATCTTCTTGGATTGACTTGTGGCAGAGGAGCATCCTATGACTTTGTTCAGTATTTAAGACAGGTAAAACTCCTTAGAGTTAGTCAAGGAGATAAATGGAGGAGGAAGTAGGAGACTGCATAGGCATTGCTGTGGGTACCTCAGTGATTTTCTTCACTCTCAAAATTCAAAGAAGTAAAAACTCTTAAATAAATAAACCACTACCCAAACTTTAAAAAAAGGGGGTAGGAGAAAAGGTGTGTGTGTGTGTATACATGTACATGTATGTAAGCAACAGAAGGATAATACTGTGGAAGATGTCCTCCTCAGGTGTTCTAAGAATATGATAGCGCACATGTTCCCATCACGGCTGGCAGAAAGAAAATAATTGAAGGAGGAATTGTTTTGAAAGAGCCTATCAGTAGAAAATCTGATTCTTATACTTTTGCAAAAGAAACTTTGAATTTTTTTTTTTAATGCTTACAAGCTTCAGTTTTCTAAACTGTAGCCTGTACTGGTCCAAAAGTAGCTGTAGAACTGAAAAATGCAGCATTTTACAGAGTGAAGTTGAGGATGGTGGCAGCTCCCTGTGGCCTAGCCAGACCTCCTTACCCCCTGTACCATGTCATACCTGCTTTGAGCTATTTAAGACTGGCGTTTAAGCGGTTGGTGCTTGGTTAATCCTCCAGCGCTGCATGTAGGACTTCCTCTTAGGGCTGGTTTTCTCTTCTAAGAACAGTTTCAAACAACATGCAGTCCTGCATTCACCTGGAAGGGTTGCGATTAAGACCAGCTGAGACAACGGAGTGTTTTCCACAGTTGTGGAGTGTGCTGGTTAGTTCACCTTTCAGTAGTCTTGTTCCACAAGTCGTGGTAAGACAAAGCCTCTTGGCTTTGGAGCAGTCCTTCACATGCTTTAAAGGCTCACGTGCGGGGTTTGGCATCGCCATGGACCGCGAGGAAGCCTGTGTGGGCCGGCTGCTAGCGGAGATCGGCCTCGCGCTGTGGCGCCTCACCTTGGGTGTCCAGCTCAGGGTGTGCTTTTTACACATGTGACTGATTACTTACTGTAGGATTTCTGAATTTTTGCTCTTTTGCTGTTTGATTTAGTTTTAGGCACTGTAGGAGTAGAATTTATTCTTTCTGATGCCCTCATAATTTTGGATTTCCAGTGCACAGGCGCTAAGAGCAGCATCCTGGATTACAAAGGGACGTACGATCCCTTTGCCCAGGCACTTGCATTTGTGGTCAGGTAAGAGTGGGTGATGGCTACGGCTTTGGGTGCAGCAACCGCGGTCATTGCCTTAAATGTTTAACTGCTGTCTGTGAGAGAGGAGCCAGCGAGGGAGTGCATGGTGCCTCTCTGCCATCTGCTGGCGATCTACTGGATACGGCCAGAGGTATCCGCAAATCCAGGACTAGGGATCTGCTGAGGGAAGTTCCTGGGAGATCCTGGGAAGCGTGAGCGATTCCACACTGCCACACGGTTGTTTCTGGGGTTGTGTTCCACAGTGACCACTGCTGGCGACCAACCTTTTTTGTGATGGAGTGTAAATTAACCTCATATTTTAATGATGGACCCTGGCAAGCCACGTGTTTCATGGCAGACACCACTCCTGGTAGCAGAATGATGATGATTGGGGTAACTAAAGAAAAATAAAAAGGAACCTTTTTTTCTTTTATTTTTATTTTTATTTTTTCGTGATTATATAAATGATTATTTTTACCATTTTGTGTCATAGGCTCTGTTGCCAAACTGTGTTTTGGTCTCTGACCTGCTAGGTGGTGCTGAAACACCAGCGGCCTCTTATTCCAGTATCGTGAATTACTCTTTCAATGCAAAACGAGACCAGTGCTGCAGGGGCGACCTGGAGAAGAGCTAGAGGTGTTTCCCTTTGCTGTAGAATATGTAGCTAAAGAAGAGTTTAGTTCTGTGCTGATTGTCAGTTCTGTGCAGAAATTAATAATTGAAAATGCTGGTTGAAGTGCAAGCACTAGCAGAAGTTCAAGCTTCTTTATATTCGCTTGGTGTTTCAAAAAACCTTTTAGTTATAGAAGAAAATTCAATCTGTGGGTCTCCTATTTATTCTGCAATGCTTTTAATGGACTTAGTGTTTATTTTTGATGATCTCTGCTTAATGCAGGCATCTGGTAATGGCTGTGAATTTCACAGTGACGGGGGCTTGGAAGGAAGAGTGGAGGTTTAAAAGGAGCAGTGTCTGTGGGGACTAGCAGCTCTCCGACTAGCAAATTGTACATTAGTTTGCAAAGAAAATAACTGCTCTTCTCCGATCTCTACCTTCCTGCTGGATATGTATGCTGAAAGCAAGGTGAGTGTATAGAGCCCCACTTTCTACCACCTCACGAAAGAATGAGATGTATTTCTTCTCCTTTTCCTGAAAAATATAATAGTAGTTGGGGGACAAGCTGTTAATGAAGGATAGTGTTTAGAGCTACCTTCTGTTGGGTATGTGCTACCGAAGGAGAAGCTTGAATCTGATGAGAAAGCTTCATTTGCGTTACCGCATTCTGAAACAAACTACTTCTCTTTTCCCTGAAGGTTTTTTTGTAGGAAATGTTTATTTTAGTTGATATTTTAGGTGATTTTTAAAAAAAAAGTTGCTGAAGATGTCTGAAAATTTAATTCCAAGTATTAAATGTGTATATAATTAAAGAAGAGTAAATATATGTGATAATTTGTGTACAAAATGTATATTCAATATATAGTGCATGTTACTTAAAAAGAGGCAGCACTGAAGAAATTTTAATATTTTCAGGTCAGCATCTTTTTATTCACTTCAGTTAAGTGAATTCAGTTTTTCAGTGAACTCATTGGCCCAGAAGTGATTTTCATACTCAGAAGAAAATTTGAATACCCTTCTGTGTAACCTGGTTCTTGTCATCACAGGAAATATGAATTCATAAAACTTGCCTTGTGATAATTGTCAGGCAGTAGACTGTCAGTTTGAATGATTGCACTTCTCATTATCTTCAGATGCTGCATGTTACTTTTTGTCTAAGAATGTCGAATTGATTTTTGGCACTTGCAGTTAGTTCTTTTCCTGACAGCAGCACTACTGTAGGTGTAAAGTGAGAAACTGCTGTAGTGTGCATGGAAAATAGGCTTTTTTGTTTGGGGAACTGGGCAGGAGGGGGGCTTAAGACAGAATATTAAGAATTATTCAGACCATGCTTTGCTCCAT